TTCCCTACTGTTAGGAGATATTTGTTCCACTTCCAGAAAAGTTCTGCTCATTGAATTAATTTGTCTCGTTTGCTGGGAATGTCAGGTTTGGAGGGGTTGAAGTTGTTTGTGTCTTGATGATCCTGGACAGTGCTTCATGTTGAATTGGGTAACATGCTGCAGCTTTGCCAAAGTCCAGGAAATCCTGTTTAGTACATGTTACAAATATTTGAAATTACTTTTAATGGCACTTAATCTGGGTGATTAAGATCAATGAATAGAAAGGAAGAGTTGCACTGCCAGTTTCTCTGACAAGAACGTGTAGTCTAATTATTGAACATTCTGTAATACACTTGCAGTGTTTCGATGAGAATCAAATCCATGTGATGAAGCTGTACAACTTTATTGTGAAAACAATTAAAATACAGCTCAGTCATCCTGATTGATGGGCATGAACCCTAATGTTTTAAGTAAACTATTATGTGATCGTCTATATGTTGTTTTAAATTTCTTTAACTGTTTTGAGATCACTTAATATGGAAGACAGTACCCCAGAACTACAGCAGGAAGCGTGATCTAACATGAATAGTAGAATCTTTCCAACTAAACTATACCTTAAGAAAATTACATGTGTGGCAGGAGGAAGAATGACCACTGTCTCGTTACTGTCAGATTCCAGTGACAGGTTTGCAGCGGAAGGTTAACAAACACAAAGGTAAGGCAAAGGTAAATGGTCTGGGAATATTTAGAAGCTTGCATTGTCTTTAGCTGGCCTGGACGTAAAGCAGTTGAAATAGAGTAAGCCACTTTATGGGATTCTGCTTGTCCTGAACAATACTAAGAGATTTAAAATGTGAAAATACTCTTTACAAAAACAATGCTGTGATAGGTTCCATGATATTTCAAATCACTCTTTGGAATTTCTAATTACCGATTTACAGTTGTTAAGTCTTTTTATATTAATTTCCTTATTCCTTAAGGAGATGCTTAAGCTCTATTTCTGAGACTTATTGCATGAACTTACTGGTCAGTTGCAACATCTTTGCTATAACATAGGGTGATCACAAAATGTGCTAAGGTGACCCTGTGTGCTGTTAGAAATAGGACCGCAGCTCTGCCACAAGAGTAAAGCTGCTGTAATTCATTTGAAGTAAATGGGAAGCTTTATTGTGACAGACTTTTTCTGAAGAACCTCTCAGAGAGGCTCTGTCATGGGGGGAAAACTCCACCTCTGGGGTAAAAATATATGACATTGTGATTCTGATACACCAAGCACTGTAGTATCAGGAAGTTTTGAGAGAGCTCACCTGCTTTTATCAGCAATAAGTAACTCAGATTGCAGCTTTGTAGAGAGTCTTTCAGCAACGCCTTTTAAGGAGGGGGAGGGGGAAAAAAAAAGGAAGGGATAAAACACATTGCACATCTGTTCTCTGGTACTAGGACTCCCAATGCTTTTGCAAGATTAGGCTGTCTGGGCTGTGGGTTCTTCGCTTTAAACAAAGTGAAAATCAGTCATGCTATAGATTTTTTGGTGAGGATTTACTTCAACTTGAACTAGTCTATATTGAATTAATGCATTCCTAGTTTACTTAATTCAGAGGTTTAATCAGATTAATAGTCCACTTCAGATACTGGTGCAGAGTTTTACAGGAGCTAGCTGTTTAAAGTGACTGTATAATTAATTGTAAGTTTCTTAATGTCTGCGTGCCAAGTATACCGAGGTAGCTATATTGTTAATCAGTCTGACGTTAGCAGTATAGAGTTTGTTTAAATGCAGGACTTGCCGTTGAGACGGTCATCCTCTCAGCTCTGTTCCAGCTGCTTGCTGCTGCTGTAGGCTCTAATTTTTAAAGCTAGTCTTAGACTACTTTGAAAGGCACATTTGAATTCCCGCTTCTCCTGTGAGTACCGCATTTGTTCATTCTCATGGCTGTAGGCTACCAGCTGTTACTAAAGGTGCTTTTGAGCACTGTAATGTGTGGTATTTCTTAAATACCAGTTGCTTTATGGAGCACAAGCTACTTTTTGAATCCCTCTAAAGCCACTGCGCTTTGGTTTGAGCTAGGTAAGCAAGACACGTTACATTGTACAACAGTGCTGGTCCTTAACTGCTAATCAAATGGGCAATTACAATACTGATCCCCGAGCCAGGAGTAGCCTTTTCATACTTAGAATTCAGTTAATTAGAGTAAAAGTGCTGTCAACACCATTAGACCTGCTATTGATCATTCTCTTTAAATGTAATCTTCCCAAGAATATAAATTGTAAACCGATTTATGTGATATGGTGGAAATCTTAGGTTTTGTGTACAGAGCTACCAGGAAAGCAATGAAACGGTCACGTGAAGTTCTGTGAAGGAAGGCAACAGTGCGAGCAGACGCCCACACTTTTGTTTTCCAAAGGGAAGTTACCACTGTTCTTTCAAGGCACTCCTGTGAGACCAGGGGAGGGAGAGGGATGGAAGGAAAATACAGCCAGTGTTGGGATCCTGCCTGCTCCAAGTGAGAAGGGCAGGAGAGTCGTTACGCGATATTCGGCAGCAAGCAACTTTCAGCCAGGCCGGGAAAGGCTGGGTACAGTGCTGTCTGTGGGATTTGGGATGTAACTGCTGCACGGAGCGGTGATCCGGTCACCAGAGTTTTTTCCTTGGGGAGCTTGGTCTCTGGCAAAAAGGGGGAGATGTATTTGGGTCTGCTTCAGACCTTTGTCACGTATTGTCCAGTATTTGGAGCGGGGAGTACCTAGAGCCCAGGTAGCTGTGGTCATGAGGTGCTGACATTTCTCAAAAAGGAGAGAATTCCCCCCCAGGTAGCTGTGGTCATGAGGTGCTGACGTTTCTCAAAAAAGAGAGAATTCCTTGTCAGAATTAAAGCCTGAGCATTGCTTTTGCTATTTAGATTGAAAAGAGAAAAATAAGCCATAAAATAAGGGGTTCTTTTAAGAGTCAGTATGCTGCTTTTTCTAGATGATCCCCCGAAGTCTAAACTTGGCAGAAGGGAGGTACGATCCAGGCTTTGCCTGTGCCTCAACTTCCCAGACATCTCTGTGGCAGGCATGGCAACTTTCAGAGTTCTTCCAGCCAGTGCACTGCTGTTGCAACACACGGGCGAGGGCAGCCTAAAGCAGATCTGAAATGTGTAAGTGTTTTGTTCAAGTCTTGAAAAAAAAAAAAGGAAGTAGAAATGAAGAAATCATGTCGAAACGCAAATCTTGAGCAACCTTGCAAGTCATCGCTGGGATTTATAGGTCAGCATTAATGGAGGTGACAAGGACACTGCCGGAGTCTCGCATAAGGAGATAAGCATTTGTCTCAAGCCAAAAAACCTCACAACAACAACATTTTGCATCCTATAGTGACACAGTTTTTTGGCCATGGTGAAGTGGGTGCTTTGGGTTCAAATTCACAAATGCTCTCTAGAAAAAAAATCAAATTTCATGCTGAAATAAGGGTTGGAGACTGTCCTGTGTTTTTAATTTTCTGAGAGAAATTCTTAAGACTTTTCATCTTTGTTGAGAGGGAGGAGAGGGGATCCACACAAGTATTGCAGGGCAGAAAAGGAGGCAGATTAAGGAAGACAGAAGTGGAACCATAGGATTTCAAATCTGGCAGAACAAAAAAAACCAAAATAAATGGGGAACCCAGAAGTTTATTTCCTCTCCTGTCACTAATGCGAGGTGTTGCTATGGAGTAACTACAACTACTTGTAAGGCATTAAGCTATAAAGGGCTTCTACAGCTCACGGTGTGAAGGATGGAAGAGGAAGGAGTGAAAGCTGGCCCGTGTGCCCAGACGCTGTATCCCTGGAGGAGCAGGGCTGGCGTGTGGGGTGCGACTGGATGGGGGAGCAGAGACCCCAACAGCTCCCGGTGTGCCCAGCTTGCACAGACGCTGGCACCGCTGCCAGCAAACCAGCCCTGCTTGCAACCACAGCAGGGCTCTGAACTGGGACCACTCCTGGGAAAATCTTTGCTCTTCCTCTAAATGCCTGCAGTCTCCTGGTGCGGTGACAAATCTGGGTCCCTCAGCTTGTGTTTTTCTTTTGGGGGGGCAAACATCTCCTCAGTGGAGCACTGGCGGATATTACACCACTTCCCATGCTTCTTGGAGACGTGTGCC